GACAAATTATATATATATATATATATATATATATATATATATATATATATATATATATATATATATATATATATATATATATATATATATATATATATATATGTCGTACCTAGTAGCCAGAACTCACTTCTCAGCCTACTATGCAAGGCCCGATTTGCCTAATAAGCCAAGTTTTCATGAATTAATTGTTTTTCGACTACCTAACCTACCTAACCTAACCTAACCTAACTTTTTCGGCTACCTAACCTAACCTAACCTATAAAGATAGGTTAGGTTAGGTTAGGTAGGGTTGGTTAGGTTCGGTCATATATCTACGTTAATTTTAACTCCAATAAAAAAAAATTACCTCATATATAATGAAATCGGTAGCTTTATCATTTCATAAGAAAAAAATTAGAAAAAATATATTAATTCTGGAAAACTTGGCTTATTAGGCAAATCGGGCCTTGCATAGTAGGCTGAGAAGTGCGTTCTGGCTACTAGGTACGACATATATATATATATATATATATATATATATATATATATATATATATATATATATATATGTCGTACCTAGTAGCCAGAACGCACTTCTCAGCCTACTATTCAAGGCCCGATTTGCCTAATAAGCCAAGTTTTCCTGAATTAATGTTTTTCCGACTACCTAACCTACCTAACCTAACCTAACCTAACTTTTTCGGCTACCTAACCTAACCTAACCTATAAAGATAGGTTAGGTTAGGTTAGGTAGGGTTGGTTAGGTTCGGTCATATATCTACGTTAATTTTAACTCCAATAAAAAAAAATGACCTTATACATAATGAAATGGGTAGCTTTATCATTTCATAAGAAAAAAATTAGAGAAAATATATTAATTCAGGAAAACTTGGCTTATTAGGCAAATCGGGCCTTGCATAGTAGGCTGAGAAGTGCGTTCTGGCTACTAGGTACGACACATATATATATATATATATATATATATATATATATATATATATATATATATATATATATATATATATATATATATATATATAATCGAACTTTCCCAAGCAAATGTTGGGACCACAAGCAAATGTTGTGGTGCAAACCACAACATTTGCCTAATCCCAAGGTATCTATAGGCGAAAGGAGACGTGCCCAACCACTTCCGTCCCACTCGGGAATCGAACTCGGGATCCCCGACTGTGAATAGAGAACGAACCAACTGTACTACGGCTTCTAATCCCGCCTCAGAGCGAGATATTTCATTTCACTTGAAGCATCTATTCTCCTAGTAGTAAACTGGTACCCGGGAATTAGTCAACTATTGTGGGTTGCATCTTGGGGAAGGTCAATAGATGACCTTGGGGGGGGGGGAAGGGAGGACCTCGAAGAGTCTAAGTGGCTTCCTGTACCCGAGAATGAGAAAAATATAATCATAAAAACAATTATAGTCAGGTTTCATTATAGAATAAACATCAACAACCAGACGATTATCATCTAATGTCTCTAGACATTACTCTCATTTTCAATGGCACATTTCTTATTAGTCATACCATTAAGGTGAACAGAGGTCGCCAGTTGTTCTGATGGGAAACAATTGTCATTATCAATACTAGAACCACCAATTTACGTAATCATTCAAAACTGTTGTTGTTGATGTCATACCGAGGGGTAAATCTTTGACCGCAACAGACCTAATGTTTACATAAAACAGGTGGCCGCGTGAGGCCTCTGGACCAGGCTATGACGACGATATGAGTCTCCGCGTGACGCATATATGCTCCATTGCCACTTTTCCACGTAATTTGTAAGTGCAACAGTAGGAACTTGTAAGTGAAGTAGTGGAACTTGTAAGTGAAGTAGTAGGAACTTGTAAGTGAAGTAGTGGAACTTGTAAGTGAAGTAGTGGGACTTGTATGTGAAGCAGTGGAACTTATAAAGTGAGGTAGTGGAACGTGTAAGTGAAGTAGTGGAGCTTGTAAGTGAAGTAGTAGGAACTTGTAAGTGAAGTAGTGGAACTTGTAAGTGAAGTAGTGGGACTTGTATGTGAAGCAGTGGAACTTATAAAGTGAGGTAGTGGAACGTGTAAGTGAAGTAGTGGAGCTTGTAAGTGAAGTAGTGGAACTTGTAAGTAGTAGAACTTGTAAGTGAAGAAGTAGGAACTTGTACGTGAAGTAGTGGAACTTGTAAGTGCATTAGTAGGTGGTAGTGTGACTTGGGAGACACATTCTTGGAAATTAAGTACTTTTCTTTTGTATTTGAGAATAACGGTATATGTATAAATATAACGGTAAATGCATAATAACACTTACCATCGAAAGTTAAGACAACCTTATGGTAGAAAATGAGAAATTAACCTATGTTTATGTTAGATGGGAAATTATATATTATATAACGCTTAGCGTTCATTATCAAATAACATCTGTTCCGTATAACTGAAAAATAAATATGTGAACAAAAGCATATTATTATAACGCAAAACTAAACCAAAATACAATTAGTAACATGATTTTATGGTTCATCGAGAATTTCTCCCTCATCAGCCCATCCTCCGAATATGGGGAGGTAAATGTAATTATGTACTATTTCTAGCAGTCAAGAATTGTACTTATTTTCACTTAGTATTAAACCGTACTGTCAAATAATCGCCAGAATATTTGAGTTTACGTGAAAAGCTGAATAGACAACAACGACCTAACTTAACCTTTTTAGTGTATGAGGACAAGAATTTTATTGCTTCTTATTTACAATTAGTACTTAACCTACAGCTATATTGATATTACAGTTTTATAAAACTAATGAAACAAAACTAAAATCTTTCAATAAATTATAAACTAACTCATGATATTTTCAAATTTTGTATAAAATCTCTATTGTTTAATAAAACTGAAAAAGAAATTCTTCATATTTAAAACTTGTGTGTATAGCAATAATCATGAAAATTTCAACCGAAAATTTGGAGGATGGGTTGCCCTCATAGTAACAGGTTTAGATTGAAATTCAACCAGAGTTCGTTCTTAATATAAAATGTTCGGATCCTTCCTGCGTAGTCTACGTATAGAATGCTCTCATTCTTTACAATATTTATATTAGCATAGCAAAGTAAATGCAGTTCTTAACATAATTTTAATTCTTTTTTTGGTATAGCCTGTAAAACACCTTATTTTTATATTTGTCGTTTATGCAAAACTCTAAAACTTGCTTTGTAATTTTGTTATAATTATTGGCAGCAGAATTAATTTAAAAGATATAAAAAATTCCATGCAAATATATTTATATGCACAGCTTCCAAAGGCAGCGACATGATGTAACTATTTGAGTTCGCATAATCATCAGTCAAAAGATATTATTTACTTTACAGCTGATGCCTTTTAGTCAAGTAGCAGCATCGTAATTATGCAATTCTAATTAACTGTCAAGAAAAAACTTTTCGAGCTACAAGGAAAGACGCGTGAACTTAAATGCTTTTATAATACTTTAAATTTTATTGGCTTTGACAATTCGTTTTGTCACAGGTTCATTGTGAAATTTTAAACGTCTCTTTTTCAACAAACATCCATTGTTAATAATTGTACCTGTATATAAATGCATGAACAAAAAGTCATAAAAAAAATCTTCCTAAAATCATAAAAACATGTCGAAATTAAAACAATGATAAAAAAAACAGCATCTTGAACATCTCAAATGTATGTACAGGAATTATAAAGTTTACTGAAGACGTGAGCGAGATACAGTAGAGGGTTCATGTTTCTCAGGAACCTAGTTACAGTCTTAGTAGGTAGCCTAGTGTCGTTGCTTGTGCTGTCTAGACTACAGCCCAAATCATACTGCCGAACTTTGATTTTGTACTTTTTATAATAATTATTTTGTTGATATGAGCGTAATAAATAGTTACTAGCTTACAAGTGTTTACTCCCTCTACTCTGAGAAGTTGTGTTTACGTCACTGAGCCTGTATCAGGGGAAGAAATAATGATTTGGAACATCAAATTTTGAATTTAAATCAGATTAAAGGTAACTATATGAAAATATCGTATTTTTCTTTAAGTATATGTAAAGGTGAATAATAAAAGGAGTTTAGGTGTATGAAGGGTGTCGATATAATTATTTAAAAAAAAATTGAATTATATGTTGTTGTTGATTGTGGGGCGAGGACGACCAAGGGATCGGACAAGCCCGTATTTGAGTAATATTTATTCATTGGTTAGCAGAGTTAATATTAAGACATTAGGAAATAAACTAACACCCAATTATCACAAGGTCATTGGCATTAAATACAATAAAAGCAGGGGAGATAATTCAAACGGGGGTATAGCGTTTCTACTTTGTTAGAAACAAGCCTATTCTATAATTCTATTATTCCAGACAGGTTCCTATAGTTCCAAATAAAAAAGAGAGCCTGAATGGTCCCCAAGCCATAAATCTCTATGATCCGACTCTAACCTCCATAACCAGAGCTCACCCCCCCCCCTGCGTACAAAGTACAGTACTGAAACCACTTCACCAGCGAAGGCAATCGCTGGGGGAGTGACTTGTCCCTACTTGGCATAGTATGCAAGTCCCGATTTGCCTAATAGCAGAGTGATTTTCGTTATTTTCAAATATTTTGTCAAATTATTTGAAATAATTGGTTTATTTTATTTAACATTATTATATTGTATTAATAACATGAATTACTGAGTTAGGTTAAGTTAGGATACGTTAGGTTAGATTATGTTTTGATCAAATTTTTATGTTAATTTTCGCTCAAATAAAAAAAATTTAAATCATATATTATTTACATATATATATATATATATATATATATATATATATATATATATATATATATATATACATATATATATATATATATATATGTACATATATATATATATATATATATATATATATATATATATATATGTGTACATATATATATATATATATATATATATATATATATATATATATATATATATATATATATATATATATATATATATATAACTGAAAATCACATATAGTCCTGGGGACCATTCAGGCTTGTTCGCA